CCACAGTGCAATGAGAGTGGCGTATAAGGTGATCGCACTTCTATCATTACCTGCTCCTTTCCTCAGAAAGACCACTGAGTCCTATGTTTTTCACAACAGCTTCATTTTCAGTTTGTCTTCGCTCCAAATTCGAATTTCTCAGCAAAACCCGAGCAAATGTACGGATTTATTCCGCAATGGGGGAAGATCGATGTAGTTCTTTATCGAAACGTGAGAAGCTATAAGTAGAATGGGCAATTGCTCTTTAAAGGGGTGTTTATGTTGTTTTTTCAGAAAGGAAGACCTCCAGACGAAACTATGCGAGTTCAGTTTGCAGCAGCTCCAAAAGGTGACGATCCAAAGGAGAGTTTCTCCACTGGACAACCTGTTGGCGAGTATGCGGGTGAAACTGTAGTACGATTGGTTGCAATTGAGTGAACAATGGCATTACTGAATAATGATCAAGATGAAATAAACGGCTGTAGTTTTAATAAAAAGTTCTATGATTGAATGTAATCGTAAAGATTCGCGAAGATTAAAGTGACCAGCTAGCAGTCTCCCAACTTTTCTAGATTGCGCCACGTATCGGATCTCCGCTTGAAATAGCAGACACACGAAATGAGCTTCAGTAAGCCATAGTGCGTAGCTGTCCAGCACTTGGGAGGTTCGCGGTAGAATGGAGGATCGACTTATTCAACTTCACGATGTAAATTGCCTTTATACTCCATTCCAATCTGGGTTGCGGGCAATTGCAAGACACAGGGACATCATCTAGGAATAAGCTTAGGAGAGGGCAGGAAGTCAAAGAAAAGTGAGCACGGCTAACGGTCCTCAGAGTCAATCCTTCCCCGCATAAGGCTGAATCACGTATTCAAGGGGAAAAACATACTGTCCGCGGTTTAAATGCATTGCCAAGTGCCCCCGTATCTTGTGATAGCGCCTGGGTTTGTCGAGCTTTAGAGTGATGTGTGCGCTATAAGAAAGTAGCCAACAACACACATCCAGTTGCATACCTATGTAGTGATGGGCTCGGAAAATCGAAACGACGCGTGCCT